AAAATTGCATAAACCGAAACGAAATGTATTGAAGAGAAAGTGAAAGGACGAATGAGTGAGTGTGGGTTATATACCAACATAAATACATACATACATATATTTAACGAAGCGGGAGAGACAACCAACTTCAATGACAGTGGTATGAAGCGGAATAAAAGGCATTGAATTATGTGCTTTAAGAAAATATGGGGAAATAAAAGAGAAATGTATTTCAATATTGGAAAGAGAGTGATATTGGCAAGAGATTGAGAAATTGGGTTGAGAGCGCTATTAGAAAGAGAACTATTATTAGAGAGAATATAAAAGATTTGCACCCTTAATAAAGGGAATATGGTAAACAAGAAAAACGTAAATTTAAAAAAGCACTGCTTAAAACCGTGTGGTAGCTCATAAGTCCAAAAAAGAGATTATTTTAGAGAATATAACTATCCTATTTTTCATAATATTTATCCCTTCATTTCAATTGTCTTTAAACTGGGATGTTGTCCAAAATGATTAATAAATCGAATTATTACAAACAATTTATTAATTACGTCTTAACACGGGTTTTCTTGATTATTAAAAAAGTAAGAGAAATTTGGAATGATGAGCGTGGTCTGGTATTTGAGCAGCTCTGATTTAAACCAGACCTGTTCAAGAACAAGGGCTCTCTCGCCAGTCTAATCTCTCTTAGGTCTTTTAATTCATCAACAAATAAGGGTTTAAACATTACTTTTACATTTTTTTATATCAAAACGCTATATAAATAATTTTGGACCACATTTACTTTAATAAAAAAAATAGTTGATGTATAGAAAAATCAGAACTTTTAATTTCCTCCCTTCAGACTCATGGGGTTCTAATGCATTCAACTACTCTCAATACCCTTAAAATGTGCACAATTTCCCATATTTAAATTCACTTTCAAAAAAGCACTTATTCGGTAGCTACTCTTTTGTTATTGTGTCTTGTTTAGTTCTCAGTCCTTGAAACATTTTCTCAAACTCTCAGAATTATTTATGGCGGATGGTTGGTCATTTTGAGGTTTGCTGTTGGTTTCCGTGGAAACTTTGGTTCATGGGAAAATTTAATCTGTAGCTGCAAAAGTGGTCGACATAAGAACATTGCTTTATATTACTGTAACATATGGTTGTGGCACCAACACCACCAGCAACAGCAACAAGAACAATAACAACACTTACCCAGGGTCTCATCCGCAGGACATGTATAGTAGATGTCCATACATATGTATGTATATTTGTAAGGATTTATACACTGGATTTTGTGCTTTTGTTGTTGTTGTTTTTCTTATTACCAACAGCAACATAAAACATTATCTCATGCCGTTGTCCTAGTGAGCGTTTCTTGTTGCCGGTCAAAACAAGAACACGAGAAAAAAAACGCACACAATTAACCAAAAGCAACAATGCCATCCCAAAAAGGCGAGAGGTGTGTTCCTTGTTAAATTGTAAACGTCGATAGAAACACGCCACGAAAATAGTGATAAACATCCCATCCCACTTTCAGCGAACTTTAATGTAGGCAAATGGAAAGAGCGAACCCGGAGAATATTCAAATAAAGATTTATGGCTTTTAATAAAGGAAAGCGACAAGGAAAATGTATCAACATGTTGAGAAGTTGAATTTTTTTTATCTTATGTTCTTAAAGAGTAATGTGTCGGAGTTTTAAGCGAAAAGAGAGAAAGAGGGGGAGAGTGGAAGAGTGGAAGAGCTACGTGGGGCAATTTTTGTAAAGACGTTTTTAAGAAGGTTTAAGGCGAAAAGACAGAGAGTATGTGGAAAAACTACCAGAGCCATTCTCTGCAAAGACGTTTTTAAGAAGGTCTGCTGCATATAGAAGAACTTCAGAGGACCTTGTTCCTATAGAAGCTGATTAAAAGGTACTGAATTGTATAGCCATAGGAAGGTCTTTTATGCACAGAATGAGTCATAGAAGGTTTGATGTCGAAGGCTTTCACAAGGAGGACCTATATATGATATTTTCTCTGTGTTAGTACCTTTACATGGCCTTCATTTTAAAGAGGGAACTTTTAAAGTTCTTTTGTCTATAAAAAAGCAGTGACAAGATCTTCCATCTACGCGAAAATTTAAAGAATATCTTCTATATATAGAATACCTTCAGAAGTTTTTTGGGTTAAAGAGGTCTATTAAATGTATTTTATCGTGTGGGAATGTTCTCTCCACCTGTCTAGATGGACCTTGGCATGTTTTTTTTAACAATCTTTAGAATGTCTTATCTCTATAGAGGGATTTTTTGGATGTCTTCTACTTATAGAAGAATCATTTAAGGGAGTTCTATTACGACTCTTAGAGAATATTCGGAAGGGCTGTTTTCCATTAAATATTTTTTAGAATACTCTATCGTCTTCTAAAAAATATATTTGTATAAAGTAAGACCTTTTGAAAATAAGCCTTCTATAAGATCTCCTATCTGAAAAAGGATTTTAATCAAGGGGACAATTAGAAGCCCTTCTGCTTACAGAAGGATATTTGCAAAATTATACGGATATTGTAAAAATCGATTTACTAGACCATTTTAGTAGTATATAGTCAGATCCCGATTTTAGGTTCTCTACATGGACTTCTAGAGCAACGTCTGTTCCAGAGTAGTCCATGGTCTGATCCCGATTACGGGTCCTATAAATACACTTCGATCTGCAAAGCGCTTTTTGCAGAAAAATGTTATAGAATTTTCAATTCAAATTTATTGAGTCTTTGTTTTTTTGAAATGGTTTCAATATCGGACCCTAATTTCGGGTCGGGACTTCCATGTAGATCATAGATTAACCATCAGCCATTCATGGCCTGACTCTTATTTCGAGTTCTACACAAGAACTTTGATCTAAATTATTGTGTGACCCTCAGTAGTTTTAGGTCTGACTGTAATGTTGGGTCCTATACAAGCTGTTCGGTCCACTAGCCAGCAAATTGAAACTTCTCGCTCTTTATTTTGGATTTTGAAATCAATTTTTTAACTTAATGTCTCTGAACCGGTTCCGGCACAAGGGCACAAAGTGATAGGTAGAAATTTTTCTGCTAATAAAATAATTCTTAGACGAGTTTTAAAACTTAAAATTTGAGGGCAAAATGAAACCTATATTGTAGAAATCGGCTCTTGGAACCTGAATCTGGGTTTTTGCCCGAATTTTTAGACAACTCTGAATCCACAACAGATTTTAATACAAATGACAAAAAATTTTAAAGGATTAGAATTTCCATTCCGTAATTGATCTCTTGAGGATTTTCTTTTTTATAAACCACAAATCGAGCCCTCGAATCGGTTAAAATACCTTTATCGCGTGAAAACTTGTTAGATATTTCTAAAGGTTTTTAAATGATATCGGATTTTACATGGTTCTTATACCCAAAGATTCGGGTCATATATCCAGCCACATTCCATGAGAAAAAATAAAAAAAAAAAATTGAGGGATTTTTCTTTGAAAGGCTTAAGGTTTTCCATCTACAGAAAATCCAAAAAATAAATGCTACTTTATATTGAAGGCCCCTGGGCCCTAGGGGCCACACCACAAACTCGTCATCACATCGAGGCAGGGCCTACATTATGCCCTTCTTTTCATAAATAATGCCTTCGTGTTTACCTCCATATCTCCTTCTTTACTTTTCCATCTTTAAGTCAACAACATTTCTCATTTTCCGATAGGAAAATTGTCCCCTTGGCAAAAATTAGGTTATGCCAATAACACTCGTATAGTCACCTTTTCTTTATCGATTTCCTGTTTTTTTTTAGAACTGTTCGTCGTATCCATTTCATTTAACGATGGACCATAAACAGTAAACTGAGACTTGCAATAAAAAGTAAAAAACAACTTTACACCTTAAACTAGGAAATTGTCATTGAAAGTTTGGTTTTGCCGGAGGGCGGGGAAATGCGCACACCAAGGGAATCAATACAAAGTTTCAAAAGTGGCTGAGGAGGGAGAAAAACTTCATAGGAAATGATTAAAGATTCAGGTGGATTCGCAGCTGGGTTGCCGATTGATTGACTACTGCAAAGGCTAGTTTAAAAAGGAATCAAAATCATCAGTTTTGTATACTTTTCACTTCATTACAATCGAAAAAAAACATAAAAACCCTTGGACCTCTTTCCATTCGTTGTTTAAACTTCGATTTTTGAAGAGGCCTCTAAAACCTACGAAAAGAAATACTAAATATGTACATACATACATATTCGATTTATCCTTTTGAAGTAGTTTGAAGTTACTTACTTAGCTATTGATGGTTCTGATTTGTTTTTCCAGGAAAAAAAGCTTTTGTAGTCGATGGAAATTGTTTCCCCACCAAATCTTTTTTCCAAATTTAAAATTTGATTTTCTCCGATTTTTTTTGGCTTCGTTTTTTTTTTTGCCTTATGATACATTAAATTTAATTTGGCAAGAAACATTATTGCTGTTCCTTTTTTTTTTTGGTTTTTCTTGGTAGCATTCCATTTGCGAAATCACCTTTTTGCCTGCCTCCTAAAGGTATTGTAAGGCATTTAATGCCTAAAAGTATGCTACAACATTTTCATCGTTGATTGCCGAGTTGCCGTTATTTGTGCGTGACACATATTTGCGTTTTGTTCGTGCAATTTGCTACGACTTTTATTGGCTAATGAATAAATTGTGTTCCTATTTTTTTCCTTTTGCCTTCGAAGCGTTTGACGGCAGCTCAATAAACGAATCAAATGCTAACAAAGCGTTTCGATTTGCCTTAACATATGCTAAGGAGGTTTCATTGGGTTTTTTTCTAATTTTAAAGGTGGAATGTTTCCTTGATTGGCAATGTTTGTTTTATTTCATTTCAAAAAAATGGGGGAAATGGAAAGGGATTGGTGCTTTAAATTGTTGAGACAATTTAAATAAAAAAATGAATTTATTTGTTTTGTGCGCTTTTTTCCCCAACTTCTCCACTTAAATAGTTCATATTTCCCTTTAGTTCGTCTAATGAACAAGTTTTATTTTTAATAATACCCGGTTTTTCACTCTTTCGTATTTTTCCAGGAAAAAATAAAATTCTAGATGAATAAAGTTTTCCACACCCCCCTCCACTTCTCATCAACCAAAACCAAACTATAATTAATCTAAAGGTAAGTTTGTTTTGTCGGCAGAGAGAAAAAAAGTTTGTTTTACAAAAGTTAATGAGAATAGCGGGAGAGAGTAGGAAGAGTTATGAAAGAGAGAAGGGGTGTTAAAAGCCATTTTCAATTAGGGGCCAAAATGAAAATAAAACCACTTGATTTGGGGTAAAATTGATGTTTTATTTTGGAAATTAATTTCAGAAATAGTGATAGAGCCTTTGGGCAGGAAGAAGGAGAGGAGACATTGAGGGTGTTGCAGCATCCCCAAAAAAAGTTCTTTTGAGGAAATTTTGAATCCGTGGCACATTCCAACTCTATGCTGAGAGCAGAGTCACTGGTACTTGCAGTTTTCAAAATTGTGGGGCTTAGTAACTTAATCCTAGTGCCTTGCATCTGTGGTCAAGAGTAGTCCTGATAAAAGGAAGTAATTGCATCTCTATCGTATCAATAATTTAAGTATATTTAAATTTATTTTTTAGTATCTTACATGTCTCTTCTCTCTTTCTCTCTCTATCTCCTCACTCATGAGCAATGATGTTCATAACTAAATTGAGAACGGGTATATAAGGGTAACTGAGAATTAACCATCGAAGATCGTTGAGGGAAAGTGAATAAAAGTATAACCAGTGCCGCTAACGTTTGTTTTTAAGACATTTTTGCACATCTATGCTCATCTATACCCAGGGTGCGTATGATCAATGCAAATAAGATTCCTCAAATTGATCATACGTAGCGGTGCACCTTCATTCGTATGGTGGATTTGTTTTAATGGCAAATATATTTTGTTAATTATACCCTACACCAAATAATGCTATGGATATTGTGTCTTTCAGCATTTGTTTGTAACAGGGAGAAGGAAGCGAGATAGGTCCATAGTTACTTTTGAGGATCTTCATAGCATCACTTTCTGAATCGATTTATGCATGTCTGTCCGTCCGTCCGTTTGTCCATGTATTTTTGTGAAAAAAATGCAGGTCGCATTTATTATCCAATTAAGAGGAAATTTTCCAAACAATATTTGTTTGGCCCAAGGACGAACCCTATTGAAATTGGTGAGATTTCGGGTTAGTGGTTCACTAAATGGTCAGTATCCGTCTAAATCACCTGAATTTTAGTACATCCGACCGAATTCAGTCTGGAAGCAAGTACATCAAATTTGGAGAAAATTGATTCAGATATAGCTATAGCTCCCATATACAGAGTGAGTTAAAGAAACTGCAACTAAGTCAAACGCCATAATTTTTAGATTTTTTTTAAATTTTATTGAATGAAAGCAAAAAATGTCGGAAATAGTATCAAATTTTAGAATATGTTTAGATTTGTTCGAATTGGTCACCTTTGGCACGAATTATGGCCTACAAACGGTCAATGAAACCGTCACAAGCTGCCCAAATGTTGCTCTGCGGTATTTTCACCCATTCCCAGCGAAGTGCTCGCTTGAGGTGATCGATACTTTGGTATTTTTTAGTGCCATCCTTGCCTTCCAAAATACTTCAGACACAATAGTCCAACGGATTGGTATCCGGAGATTTTGGTGACCATTGTGCGCTGGAAATGAAGCGAGGAACCTAATTTGGTAACTACTCTTCGTGGCGCGAGCTGAGTGCGATGGTGCTGGGTCTTGTTGGAATGTCCTAGGTCTGCGGGCAAAATGTTTGCGTGCCCAAGGCTTTAATACAGCCTCCAGAATATTTTCGCCATAATATTCGGTATTTATTCTGATACCATGTTGCTGTTTTCTTCCGTCCAAATCCTTGACGTCGGGCTACGCTACCAGTATCACGGTAACGAGCAATGGTACGAGACACAAAAGATTTATTCACATTTAAATGCTCTGAGTGCTCTAACGATAGCCTCTTGTGGTTTTCCAGCCAAATATAAAGAAATCACACTATCACGCTTGAATTCCATCACGAATAACTTTTTTTCTGGAAAATTCTCACCAAAATGCTTTGAGCTGTCACTGGAGTAATTTTAACAGCTGTCGGACGAGTGGCTTAGGAATGACAGCAGTCTGAATTTGGTTGGATATAAATGGCCCGCCCGACTTTTAACCTTTCGTTACTGGTTTTTCAGTAAATTTTTCCCCAACCCCACGTCCTACCAACAATGTTTATTATTGCTATTGTAATTATTATTAACCGTTATTATCGTTATTATTTGGCCCATAATTACGCATGTTTGAATGAATACATTTTAATTGAATAAACATTTCCAACTGAATTGATTATCCCCATTGAGCCGATAAAATGTATTAATTTGTACGTGACTTTTAACACTTTGGCAAGGCAATTGAATTGCAATGGAAATTCAGTGAATAAATCTCAATTAATTTCAATAATGACAGATTAAGGGCAAAAAACACAAAACTTGAGAGACGTATAAAAATAAAATTTTATATTCATTTGAATTGTAGGGATCCAAGTTCTTCCCCATGGCCCGCATCACATTTTTGTATTGAATTTACAAAACTTTTCACATCACTCAAAAAAATTAATGTGCCAATTACCGAAAAAGTTTACTGTTCAAAACTTTTTCCCATTAGTAATTACAAATTGTTGTCTGCTAATTAATTTCGACAAATTTTCAAGTTTATTTCCCTGTCTGCCATCATTGAAAATCATTCAAATACAGTTTTATGTTTATGTTGAACATTTGAAATGAGCATTTCATTGGCGTTAATGTTGCTGTGTTTCTCTTTATTTTTATCTTTTCAATTAGTTAATTTTCATTTGCAAGAATTTGTTTATTTGCGCCATCATCAACACCGAATAAATCACTTTAATTACCCTCAATGTCGATTGGAGATTTTCTAATAGAGTCATATTCGATGTTTTGAATTGAAGAGAAATTTAAAATGAATTGAAGTGGAAAGAGGAAAGTTTGCTAATATATTTGAAATTATTTTTATCAAAGGAGTCTTTTATATTATTTTATGAATTGCCAAAAACCTTGTGAAACAAGCTGAAAAATCAGTGAAAGTTTCGTCTTCCCAGCGTATTATTAATGCCAGTAAATCATACGTCACGAGGTCCAGTAAATCATATGTCACGAAGTCCATTTTTATAGTTATTTTAAACAACCCCCATTTTGTATCCTTTCCTTCCAGCCATTCAATCCAATCATGCCAATTATAGTTGCCATTCTATTCAAAATCAAATTGTAAAGATAGAAAATTGTCTTTTACGAAGAAGAAGAAGAATAACAACAACGAAATTAGTCGATAACAAAAACAAAACAGAAAATAAGCTGATTGTTTTGTTTATGGCTTGGAAAATGGAACACAGGGAAGCAAGCCACAGAGCCAAACGCAGAAGAAAAAAAAAACACCATTAACGAGAGGAATAATAAAAATCATCATGACCATGTCGTCAGAGCAGATAACGTTCTACTTTTTTCAATTAACGATAAACCAAGACCGAAGAGATAGAAAACAAAAACTAGAGAATGATGGTAGAAAAGTTATCGCCGGAAAATACACAATGAAATACGTGCCAATGGTATAATTATTTGGAAATGTGAAAAAGGATAATGACAGCTATGAAGATTTTGAAGTTAAAATTGAAGAAAATTATTGAATTTTAATTGGAGAGCAGGAAATATAGAAATGTCAATAATTTCAATGTTTAAATTTATTTTCAAGATTCCAAAATCAATTTTTCGGATAATAGATAGATAACTTTGCATATAAATTAAATGGTACAATAAGAAGGTAGAACAGCTTTGTAAAACTACAGAAATACAGCCCTGAGGCTATGTCCGCTTCCTGTCAGAGTTATTCAAAATTATATTCAAAATTGGCAGAAATCGGGCAAACTTAGAAAAAGAATTGTAATCAGCTGGTAGCTCTACCTTGCCTTTTTATTGTACCATGCATACAACGTATAAGTATTGCCATAACTCATACGCAAATATGTCTTTCGCCTTAAAAGACTTTAAAATTTGCAAAATCAAATCGAGAACCTATTGAAACTTCCACGCAAATTTAAGGGAAGGGGAAATAAATATGGTGTTATTTTTAAAAACCTTTTACTCAAAAAATCAAGTCGTGTTGACAGTTGTCATTTGGTTTAAATCATCAGATTGGCATTGGTGGGGCACCTTCTAAATCTCTTCCACCTACGGGATACCTGTAAAGGGGGTTCATCTATAGAATACCTATGATGCCAGAAACACTCTATAAGTTAAAGCATCTAATTCAAAATATATTAAAAATATTAAGTAGTTACATAATTTTGCAGAGAAAATATATACAACGTATAAGTATTGTCATAACTCATACGCTGCTATGTCCTTAACCTTAAAAATCATTAAAAATTGCAAAATGAAATCGAAAACCTATTGAAATTTCCACGAAAATTTAAGGGAAGGGGAAATAAATATGACGTTCTTTTTAAAAATGTTTTTCTCAACAAATTAAGTCATGTAGACGGTTGTTTGGTTGATATCATCAGGCTTTGGTGGGGTCCCTTCTAAACCTCTTCCATCTATCCGATACCTGTAAAAGGGGTTTATCTAGAGAAGATGCTAGAAACTCCTTAAGAGGTAAAACATTTAATTCGATATATATTAGAAATATTAAAAGCCAAAGCGAACTTTTTATGGTTCGACAAATTGTCCTTTCATAACGTATAACTACTATCATCACACATACGCCTATAAGGCTCAAAGTCTCAAAAGTAGGGTTGTGTCAATCTAATTCGATCGAACGAACTAGTTCCGTGGACTCCGGTCGTTTGTATGTAAACTCTACGTATGAGTAATATGAAATTTATGAAGTCACTCATACGTTTAGGAACTGAAATACGAACTTGATCGGCACAACTATGCTCAAAAGCCCTCAAACAAGAATTCGATGCTAAATCAAGGTAAATGGGGGTGGTAAAACCCCAAAATTTGCTTCCCTTTTTTAAACAGCTCTATTGGATCAAAAATGCCTCACAAATCGACCCCTGTTATCAATTTGATCGTAGATGGTCAAGTATGCATGTCTCTTATTCTCCGTCATG